AACTACGCAACCTGAGTATGCTTCTATATACTAGTAAGCATGACCAATCATGGCTTTGCTGTTCTTGAGAAGATTATTAAAGATTTTTCCTAAGTATATGTAAAACTTTGACCCGCCCCCAACATTGTGGCACCACCCTATCACCGGGGTCTTGATTTGAACAAACTTAATCTACATTACTTGATAATGCTTCCATATAAACATGATTAATCATGGCTTTGCTGTTCTTGAGAAGAACATCTTAATCTTAAAGATTTCTCCTATGTAATTCTGTGTAAAACTTACATTGGCCATTGTGGACCCAACCTACCCCCGGGGGGAGGGGGGTGTCGTGATTTGAACAAACTTGAATCTGCACTACCTGAAGATGCTTACAAATATGACTGATCATGGCTTTGTTGTTTTTAAGAAGACTTTTTAAGATTCTTCTTACGTTTTGCTTGTTTGCTCTCTTGTTTAATGTCCCTTCAAGAATTTTTCACTCATTTGGAGACCCCACCACTTGCCAAATGTAGACATGTACTCGAAACTTATGACCTTTGAGGAGTGAAGGGTGTTTTTCGTTCCAGCACCTACTGCGACACGGGAACTCTGTTTATACGATCTCATCCAAAGGACTGGTCTCCATGTCACACAGTGGATTCAAACCTGCGACTTCAGAATCAACTCCTTACTCTGCGACTCTAGAGCAAACGCTCTCACCGCTTCGCCATGCGGGCAACTTCTTCCTATGTAAAACTCTATTGTGGCCCCACACTACCCTCGGAAGTCATGATTTGAAGAAACTTGAGTCTAAACTATGTAGTAAAGCTTTCACATAAGTTTCATCTTTTCTGATCCAGTAGTTAATGAGAAAAAGATTTTTAAGAGGCCCGTGGACCACAACGCTCACCTGAGTCACTTTGGCCCTGCTGTTCTGAATCAGACCCCACCCCCAAATACATTTATTCCTCTGTATTTTTGATCACCTTCTGTGGCACAACCCTATATACTGCAGGGGTTGTGATTTGCTCAAAAATGGATGTACACTACCTAGGGAAGCTTCCAAATTAATATGATTCAACAAGATATTTTTTTGCTCTTGGGGAGTTTAAAGATTTTCTCCCAAATAATCCCTATTGTGGCCCAACCCTACCCCCAGGGGCCATGATTTGAACAATTTAGAATCTACACTACCAGAGGAAGCTTATATATATGTGTCAGGTTTTATGGTCCAGTGTTTCTTGAGAAGAAGATTTTGAAAGATTTTTCCTATATATTTCAATGTAAAACTTAGATTCCCTATTGTGGCCCCACCCTACCCCCAGAGGCCATGATTTGAACAATTTTGAATCTACACTACCTAAGGAAGCTTCCACATAAGTTTCAGCTTTTCTGGTCCAGTGGTTCTTGAGATTTTTTAATGACCCACCCTATTTTAGCCTTTTCTTGATTATCTCCCCTGCGAAGGGGGCTTGGCCTTTCATTTTAACAATTTAGAATCCCCTTCACCCAGAGATGCTTTGCACCAACTTTGGTTAAAATTGGCTCAGTGGTTCTTGAGAAGAAGTTGAAAATATGAAAAGTTTACAGACGGATAGACGCTGCACACCAGGTGATCATAAAAGCTCCCTTGAGCTTTCAGCTCAGGTCAGCTAAAAATGTTATTAAATTTTCACTAATTCTTAATTATCTCCCCTCGATAGAAGGCAAGGCCATTCTTTTAAACAAACTTGAATCCCCTTCACCCAAGGATGATTCGTGGCAAGTTTGGTTGAAATTGGTCCAGTGGTATTTGAGAACTCAACAAGAGGCCCATGGGCCACATCGCTCACCTGAGCACATTGGCTAGGCAAAAGCACAATCAGTTCAGTATTGAAAAGACCGGGGGAGGGGGGGGGGGGCTTGAATTTTAAACTACCTGATGATGCTTCCATGTCAATATAACAAATGGCTTTGTTGTACTTGAGAAGATTTTTTTTAAAAAATTCCCATGTATTCCTTTGTAAAAATTTGATCCCTCATTGTGGCTCCTCCCTATCCCAGGGGTCATCATTTGAACAAACTTGAATCTACACTACCTGAGGATGCTTCCATATCAATATGACTAAACATAGCTTTTCTGTTCTTAAGAAGAAATATTTTTTCTATATGTTCTTATGTAAAACTTTCCATCCCCCATTGGGCCCCATCCTACCCCTGGGGGTCATCATTTGAACAAAATTGAATCCACACTACCTGAGGATGCTTCCTTATCAATATGACTTAACATAGCTTTTCTGTTCTTCAGAAGAAGATATTTTCCTTTATATTTCTATGTAAAACTTTGATCCTTCATTGTGGCTCTGCCCTACCCCCGGGGGTCATGGTTTGAACAAACTTGAATCTACACTACCTGAGGATGCTTCCATATCAATGTGACTAAACATAGCTTTTCTGTTCTTGAGAAGAAATATTTTTTCTATATGTTCTTATGTAAAACTTTCCTTCCCCCATTGGGCCCCACCCTACCCCTGGGGGTCATCATTTGAACAAAATTGAATCTACTCTACCTGAGGATGCTTCCATATCAAAATGACTAATCATGGTTTGCAGTTCTTCAGAAGAAGATATTTTCCTTTATATTTCTATGTAAAACTTTGATCCTTCATTGTGGCCCCGCCCTACCCCCGGGGGTCATGGTTTGAACAAACTTGAATCTACACTACCTGAGGATGCTTCCATATAAATATGACTCATCATGACTTTGCTGTTCTTGAGAAGAAGATTTTTAAAGATTTTTCCTTTATATTTCTATGTAAAACTTTGATCCTCCATTGCGGCCCCGCCCTACCCCGGGGGCCATGGTTTGATCAAATTTGAATCTACACTACCTGAGGATGCTTCCATATAAATATGACTCATCATGGCTTGCTGTTCTTGAGAAGAAGATTTTTAAAGATTTTTTCTATACATTTCTATGTAAAACTTTGATCCTCCATTGTGGCCCCGCCCTACCCCCGGGGGTCATGATTTGAACAAACTTGAATCTACACTACCTGAGGATGCTTCCATATAAATATGACTCAACATGTCTTTGCTGTTCTTGAGAAGAAGATTTTTAAAGGTTTTTCCTATATATTTCTATGTAAAACTTTGATCCTCCATTTAGGCCCCGCCCTACCCCTGGGGGTCATGATTTGAACAAACTTGAATCTACACTACCTGAGGATGCTTCTATATTAATATGACTCATTATGGATTTGCTGTTCTTGAGAAGAAGATTTTTAAAGGTTTTTCCTATATATTTCTATGTAAAACTTTGATCCTCCATTGTGGCCCCACCCTACCCCCGGGGGTCATGATTTGAACAAACTTGAATCTACACTACCTGAGGATGCTTCCAAATAAATATGACTCAACATGTCTTTGCTGTTCTTGAGAAGAAGATTTTTAAAGGTTTTTCCTATATATTTCTATGTAAAACTTTGATCCTCCATTGTGGCCCCGCCCTACCCCCGGGGGTCATGATTTGAACAAACTTGAATCTACACTACCTGAGGATGCTTCTATATTAATATGACTCATTATGGATTTGCTGTTCTTGAGAAGAAGATTTTTTAAGGTTTTTCCTATATATTTCTATGTAAAACTTTGATCCTCCATTGTGGCCCCGCCCTACCCCCGGGGGTCATGATTTGAACAAACTTGAATCTACACTACCTGAGGATGCTTCTATATTAATATGACTCATTATGGCTTTGCTGTTCTTGAGAAGAAGATTTTTAAAGGTTTTTCCTACATATTTCTATGTAAAACTTTGATCCTCCATTGTGGCCCCGCCCTACCCCCGGGGGTCATGATTTGAACAAACTTGAATCTACACTACCTGAGGATGCTTCTATATTAATATGACTCATTATGGCTTTGCTGTTCTTGAGAAGAAGATTTTTAAAGGTTTTTCCTATATATTTCTATGTAAAACTTTGATCCTCCATTGTGGCCCCGCCCTACCCCTGGGGGTCATGATTTGAATAAACTTGAATCTACACTACCTGAAGATGCTTCCATATAAATATGACTCAACATATCTTTGCTGTTCTTGAGAAGAAGATTTTTAAAGGTTTTTCCTACATATTTCTATGTAAAACTTTGATCCTCCATTGTGGCCCCGCCCTACCCCCGGGGGTCATGATTTGAACAAACTTGAATCTACACTACCTGAGGATGCTTCCACATGAGTTTCATCTTTCCTGGCCCTGTGGTTCTTGAGAAGAAGATTTTTAAAAGATGCTATTAATTTTTCACTAATTCTTTATTATCTCCCCTTGAAAAAGGACGTGGCCCTTCATTTTAACAAATTTGAATCTCCTTCACCCAAGGATACTTTGTGGCAAGTTTGGTTGAAATTGGCCCAGTGGTTCTTGAGAAGAAGTCGAAAATGTTAAAAGTTTACAGACAGACAGACAGACGGACGCCGGACAAAAAGTGATCAGAAAAGCTCACTTGAGCCTTCGGCTCAGGTGAGCTAAAAATGTGAAAAGTTTATAGACGACACATGACAGACGGACACTGGACACCCTTTGATCAGAAAAGCTTATTTAAGCCTTTGGCTCACGTGAACTAAAAGAGGAAAGAAAAAGGGAAGGCTAATGTCCAAATATTAAAAAACGTATTTTGTGGCTTCTGGGTGAGGGGGTATGGGGGAAGAGAAGAGCCCCCCTCCCCCAAATGTACATGTGTTAACCAACATCATAACCTCTGATGGAATGTATCACAAGATGATGATGTACCACACTGATTTTCTTTGATACATCATATCTCTAAAAATAGTACGGCATATGAGAGTAAAACTTCTAATTTGGACTCAAAATGTCATGGCCAGACACACATATGCTGAAATTATTGGCATTTAAATACACCAGCCTGATTTGTTAAACCATTTTTTCCCTGAATTTGGTGTACTTACCAAAAAGTTCTTACTATTTAAGGACTGAGATACTGCATCACTGACCACGTCTACAAGTATAGTAACAAAGACAAAACAGTAACAGCTTTATTTAAAACAATTTGGTCTTCGACAACTGACATAATCTCATTTACAAAACCTGACCTGTTCAAATGTGTCAAGTAATTTCAGCAAACCATTTATCTACCATAACACTAATAACAGAAGTATAATATCAAGTTAATGAAGTGGAAAACCAAAAGTTTATATGTAATCATATCAAAAATATATTGTATTATCATTCTGATTACACAGAAATAAAAATCACATGCACATATGAGCAAAGTTTCTACTGTATACATACACTGAAGTCAAATCACACATGGATAAAAGATATACGAATGTATAATGGTCATTTTGGAAGTGTTCAATCCATCAAACAAAATTTATATATAAAAAGCAATCTGAAGATCTAAAAATTTATTACACTTATCATCCAACAATTTTAAAAATTCTAAATACGGTAAACAATGATTTTTTTTTTTTACCATGATACCTCTTGAATACATGCAGCTAAATTCAGAAGTTACTTTCTTGCTTCAGAATACTAATTTCTCACTACCTTCCAATGACTGAATAACAAATGTATTGTACAGTTAATCTTACATCAATGAAATTCAAGGGTATGTTAACATGTCCTAAACTCATTTAAAAACGTTTTGCGCAGAGCAAGACTAACTGTACTAGCTTATTTAAGAATCAACTAACTTAGGAATTCACATAAAAAAGCACAAATGTGCCTCTTTTAAATATTTTTGTTTTTGTCTTAATAGCTATACTAGCCTTATAACTTTAATGTTTGCAAAGTACAAGTTCAAAAACAATAAGGACCCAGATCAAAAATTTGAGAGTTTTGAGATGGCTCAAAATTTCCCAGAACATTACATACTGTATGCCAAAATATCAAAACATTGGGAAATTAAAGATTTTTCCTTGTAAGCAGTTTACATAACTACACAAAAGTGAGTCTTAGTTAATTCCTATCATCTTTTTCATCAAGAACAGCTAAAGAATAATGTCAAAGATCATAGCAGGATTTCAATGATCACTGATAAAAATATTAACAATCTGAAAGTTTATACAGGTACATGTATATTTTTCATTTAAACAATCTACAGTAATGAAAGCTAACTGGGAAAATTTACATGCATTAAAAATGACTCGATGACAGGGTTGGTTTTACAAGATGAGAATGGATGAATAAGTAGTATTAAGCAAGAAAGCTTAAATATAAACAGAACATTAAGTTCACTACTTCATTTACATCTTCCTGCTACAGTTTTCAGTAAATGGTTTTTCTTTTAAACAAGAGGCCACAATGCTTCTGAGATACCATTGCATTAATGACAAATGAATAAGTACATGTAGAAAATATCTCTTATTGGTATTATTGGATGTCGACTTCACCCATTGTGGCCTTCTATTTTTTGCAGAATTTTTACAATTCTGCATTAAAATTTATTTAGTGTAACAGAGCTGAAACTGACTCTACATTACATAATTTGCTTGCATGTCAGTATGAACAATTGTGGCTCTGATGTGCTACGACCCATTATTGCTTTCTCTCCTTAGTCCACTTGAATTTGCTATCATTAAGGAGGCTTTTACAAACAATTTATCTCTGGCCCAACTGAGATGAAACTTATTAAATGACCCCAACCTTTTTTCCAACATATTTATCTTTCCTTCAAAAAGGGTTCTGACGCTTATATTGAACAAAATTTAATTCTCTTTACTCAGAAATACTTTTTGCTCAAGTTTGGTTGAAATTGGCCCAGGAAAATTGGAAAAGAAGATGAAAATCTAAAGCACTTACATACAAACATAAATACATTCAAACACTGGACAATTGTTGATCAGAAAAAGCTCACTTGAGCTAATGGTTAAGATAGGTTAAAAATTCATGATGATGAAAAAGCTTTAAATGAAACTATATGCATATGAATTTAAGTAGCTGCATTATTTTAACACATCGAGTTCATAATGGTCACCTAGAATATACATGTAGCACTAGATTCATGTACAATGATGAATAGGACAAATGAAACTGAGTAAATACACTGAATCGGCACTCCTTTATGAACCCATCAAAAGGGAGATTTCCCAAAATTAAGACACAGTGAAAGTAATAACTATGCCACTTTTTTTATATTAAAAGTGGGAAAAAGGGTGCATAACATAGTTTTGAATGCCATTTAACTTTTTTTTTAAATATACGACAATTTACTTTTACATAAAAGAAAACTTATGCACTTGAAAACAAGTGCCCCTATGATATTTCCACCTCCTAAGTAAGTACAAGATTGTATGGTATCACAGTAGAAGTTGGTTGCTCTCAATGAAAACAAGCACTTAACAAACTATATTTACAAATATGATACAAACTGAAAGTAACATAATTTTGACAAGTGAACATGCTCATTAAATTTTAATATAACTATTTCTACAACAAAATTTAGGTATTTCTTACATGAATAAGTATTAACAGCTGAATCTTGTTGAAATAAATGACGAATGAAGAAAAAATAGCCAGTAAATCTTAAACTCTCAGCTTTTTTTTCAAGCAATTTTTTCAAACTTGTATATTTAACCAGCAAAGATTTTCACTGATCGATGTACATGTAAACATATCATCATTTGTACTTAATGATATTGCATAATGCATTCATTGGCACACTCTACATTTTTGCTTAAGTTTCATTTTTTAAGTGACTTGATAAAGTTATCCAAATTGTATTCACTTTCATATTCTTTTTCATCCCATAAGTCTCCAAGATTCTCCAGGATAGACTTAATGCTTTCCCTTTTGCTCTGATCACTACCACTGCTCCCAGAGGGTGCTATCACTTGACCTTTAGCTTGATCATCCAATGAAAACAGGTCTAACAATTGATCTGTACCCATGGTTTGCAAACTGGAATTATCTTGACTAATGATTGTGTTGGCTATTGTCATCTTGAATTTCTGAAGTCTGTAAGAGCAAATAAATTTCATTGAATTTCTTTCTTCCAACAATAACTCAGAGGATTCTGTAACCATAAAATTGTTTGGTCACATATAGGTTGGATTGCACACTTTTTCCTCCTTTTTATACTTTGATATTTGCATACACATTATAAAGCATATATTAACAGTCAATATTAAATGTTTTTGCAGAGAACACAGCAAAAACCAAGGTACATGTAGTCAGACATGCTTTGTTGAATCACAGTGTTTAAAAGTGCCGAATTACGTGTATAAATCATGTAAATGTATATATTTTGAACATTTTTGTGATATTGATGACATCAGGTACTAACCCCATTATCTTCTCCTCCAGTGTTCCTCTGGTGATCAACCTGTACACATTGACAACTTTCTTCTGTCCAATTCTGTGGGCTCTGTCCATTGCCTGAAAATTGTTTCAGTGGCAAATAAAAATAAGAACAGTCCTAAACTCATTTTCCTAAAATCAGTACAACATGAATGCCTTTAGCTTAAAGTCATGAGACACTTATAAGGCTCAGTAACAAAATACCAGGTTATAACGCTTAAATCAAAGGTCATAAAGTTATAGCCTGGGCACAATAGTGTAAAGACACAAGACACTAGAAATAATGGTGATAGAACCTATAAAGTATGTTGTGTGTGTGTGCATTTTTTAAATACCTGAAGGTCCTTCATTGGATTCCAATCATGTTCGACAAATATAACTGTATCAGCCCCAGTCAGATTCAACCCCAGCCCTCCAACATGTGTAGTCAACAGCAAGATGTCAATTGATGGATCATTGTTGAACCTGATTGACAAAAATATATAAATGTATTAAAAGACCAGGCTATGACACATTTTCTTTCTCTACAAACCCAGTTTAATTGTGGATTCAAATAAATTCAAATGGACAATATTTTGAAGTGTAAATTATGTTAACAGAGAAACAGACATCTTTACCTATTAACAATTTGTTGCCTGGAACCAGCTGGAATACTGCCATCAAGTCTCAAATATGTCACTGAGGGCATCTGTGATCTACAGTATCAAAATATTTTGTGTTAGATAGTATCTGATACAATGTCATGAAGAAACTTAGGAGAGAATACATAAAATTTAAAAGATCCTTTTCCAGAGACTGAAATTAATCTACTCACTTGAGCAAGTCCTCTTCTACAATGTTGAGCATACTCTTGAGTTGACAGAACAGCAGAACCCGATGTTGATTTACCACTGGTAGATCTGTATCCAGCTGAGAACCAGAACCTGGGTTTGTAGGCATGGCAACACCAATACCACAGTCAATCAGTAGTTGTCTGAAGTGAATAAAAATTTTACAAACAAGCAGAAAATTTAAACAGATTGAAAGAGCTAATATAGATTGTTTTCTCCAATTTAGAAGAATATTTTTTATTCATGCAGACATATCTTACTTCAGAGCATTCAATTTCGGTGCATGCTGACAATCCCGCAAGGAAGAGTTATTGGTCTTGAGTTGTTTTGTGACCTCTTCATACTTAGGATGACTTGCTGTTAATACCAGTGCAGGATGATTGCAGAGTTTCCTCAGATACTGCAAGGCCTGAAGAGAAAGAAAAATAATATTCAATTTGTGAAAACAGTTTGATTACACATGTATCTATATTGATTTACTCTAAACCACTTTTTATTCAAGAGAACTTTATTTTCATGCAATTGCACGAGACAGCCAGATTGCAAAAATTTAATTCTCACCTTATTTTGTACAAGTAAAGATTATATATAGAACAAAAATCAAATTTATGAAAATTATGTCTTGCTTATAAATACCAAATGACAATCTCCTGAAAATTAGTTTTCCCAAATATTTGGTGATCTACAGTACGTGTTAAATATTGGGTAAATTGTCTTAATTCTGAAGTAATCTTCATAAAGGATACAAATCCAAGCACTGTTTGCAAAATCAAAACATCATCTTTTTTTTAATACATGTACACATAGTAAGAACTAATGTGCATTGAAATTTTCCATGCTTACCTGGAAAACATGTGTAGCTCCAGCACTCTTTCTTTCCTTACTGTCGGAACTCTCCAGTATTGTCACTGAATCTTCAAGTCCCTGCTTGGCTCGAGATTTGGCAAAGTCCTCATAAAGTTGAGTCTGAACAAAATGATGTATAATACACAACATTTTGCCACATAAACATTACTTTTCCGACTAGACTCCTGAGTTCAAAGCTAATTTACTTTTTTTCTTTTTTTAGGATAAAAATCTGATATTTAGGTGGACTCCAATGAAGGATTACCTGTAGAGGACTGAGATCACAGTAATAATCCTGAATAATCTTAGGTGGAAGATCCTGCAGAACATCTTCCTTCAGGCGGCGTAGGATAAATGGAAGAACCTGTCTATGAAGAGATTCCATGGCCAATGCACCTATAATGGAGAAAAAAATTGTCCACACCTTCAAATGTATACATTTCAAACTTTGAAAAATGTTGGAACAAATAGTGAATAAATATAACATAACTATGAAATACATAGACTGTCTGAAGAAATACTGCAGTTGAATCACCTCTGTGACTTGTCAATGAGATACTTTTATGTGGGTAGGTGAGAGTCTATTTCTGTTGTAAAAACGAGTTGAGTTTTGTACAGTGATTTTTTTGAAAATGATAATACAGAATAATAATAAATGCAAAAAAATTTACCTGCTTCTTGTTCCTTGGAAGTGCTTTTGGCATCCCTGCTCTGTAGAATTGGCTTGCCATACCTGGCTTGAAACTGTTTCTCTGTCCCCAAGAATCCAGGCAATAGGAAATCAAACAGGGACCAAAGGTCAAGGACATTGTTCTGAATTGGGGTTCCAGACAGGATTAAACGATGATTACACACCAACTGTTTGACTGCTTTAGAGAGCTAAAAAATCAATTTCAAACATTTAAAACAGGAAAACAAAGAAACATAAAACTAAGATGCATTATCTATATGAAAGGGAATGCTTACTTTGGTTTTCCCATTCTTGATGACATGCCCCTCATCCAGAATACAGTAATTCCAGCTTATTGTGCTGAAGAAATCTATATCATTCCTAACTACATCATAAGAAGCCACAATCAAATTATGCTTCTTCACTTTCTTCTGAATTCTGAAATTTAAATAAAACACACCATTATGGCTGCACTTACTTTCAGACAAGTGGACATTTAACATAACCATTTATATAAACTTCAGAAACCGCTAGATCTAGACTTTTACCTAGCTCTCTCTCCGGGAGGGCCAGCATACATGAGAGGATTTAGATGAGCAATATCTACAAATTTGTTGACTTCGTACACCCAGTGTCCAATCAGAGTGGGAGGACATATAACAATGGAGGGTAGGGGAGAAAACTCCATGGATTCTGTCTCCTGAAAACACAATATTTACTAAAGACTACATGCCACAGAAAAGCAAATGGGCATTTGGTATAGAACAGAGCCTGGAATATTGTTGAAAACTGTAGTGAAAATGCTCTGGGGTTTCATTAAGAAAGTGGTTACAGCCCATTAAACAATTCATATGTAAAAATATAATGTATGTATATATGTATAATACTGAAATATAGAAATTTAAATATACCTTGTATTTTTCATCTCTAAGTTTATGGTCAGAAGCCATGATACATATAGACTGTAGAGTTTTTCCCAGTCCCATGTCATCACACAGGATCCCATGTAAATTATACTTATTCAGGAAAGCTAACCAGTTCACACCATCCTGCAATGAATAAGGAAGCATGCACACATACTCAATACAAGTAAAATTATCAATATCTTCCAATTTTGACCTTGACCTTCAATTTGGGGACACTTAAGACTTTCTCCCTCACTTTATGTTATAATCAAGGTTAATGTTAATATAGTTAAATAAAAAGTCCCAATATTTAATCTCAAAGACATAAAAGTCTCTGCCATTTTCTTTAAAGTTTCATCTGAAATCTTCCTATCATTTGCAGAGATACTGACCTGTTGATACTTTCTGAGCTCTGCTTTCACAGGGACCACAATATCATAGCTCTCCAGTTTGGATCCATCCATTAGTTGTTCTAGAAACTTCCTCTGTTTCTCTTTTTCTGCTACAAGAGCTTCACTCATCTCTGGTGGGTCTGTGATCCCTGCCTGAAAAAAAGAAAATGGCCACTTCCTCACTAAATGTATTGGAAAAATGTATGACATAACATACATTTATGTTATGGATCTCTTCTATCAATTCATATACAACTACTTCATAATTAAACATATTCACATTTAATATGTGAATGCATTATGTAAACTTAACTTAATATTACTAGTTTTTAGACAGTATTTTCCTCTAATTCTTGATTTTTTAACTGGGAGTGCATTTTTCTTTTAATTAAGCTTTTCAAAAATGATTCTATTAGAACCTCTAAAGGCATCAGTCTAATCAAGGAAGCAAAACAAGCAGTAGCCATCAGCCTGACCGCCTCATCCTGATCACTCATCCGGCGGAGAACCTGGACCACCAGTAGCACAATGTACGGAATCAGATCCATCCCCAGACCATCTATCACACCTGTTATCTAGGTCAAGGACAATTACCAAACACAGCAAAATCCTAATCATAAATTACTTCCCACTTTATCTTATCTCTTGAATACTGTATAGGGGATTAATTTCACGGGTTGTAATTTTCACGTTATTCTCTCCTCGGACACGATCGCGGTTTGTTGAATTCGCGGAATTGGTATATAATAAAAGTTACCTCCCTTGTCTTTATCCATGTGTGTTCCATGGTATAGCTACAAACGATATTTATCAGTGTTATGTATTCACTTCATGATCAACAGGGTAGGTTTATATAAAATGATTAGATTTAATAGTTAATTAATTAATTAATAATTAATCAAAACAAGTGCCATTATTATTTTTTTTTTACTATAAACATCAAATAACTTTCCTATATGCTTAAATTACGATGAGTCATGTGTACACATCTTTCTGAATGTATAACACATCGCAGTGAAAAAAAAACTGGACGCTAATAAATGTATTTATGTGGGTAGACGTAATAATATCCTTCCGTATCTTCAGCAAGTTCAATAGTTATTTGAATGATATTTTTTTAATCCAAAATTTCCATTAAAACTTATACGCATAATGCTAATGCAGGTAACAAATACACGTGGTAACGTTACGCACGGGTAATCAAAACCCATGACCCAAGTGTTTTGTTTGATGAAACATATATTTATTAAAACAGCTTTTTAACTATAAGCACAGGTTATTAGTTGCTTATTTGAATTAACGTAAAGCGTGATAATTAAGATAATTGACAAGTACTACTCATAATTATTGAATGACCATGTATTGTACGTATATATACCAATCGTAGTATATTCTCAAACTTCCAAATAAAACATTGAGGTTTAATATTTAAAACTTATTCACTGTTTCTTGAATTCACGGATTTATTAACACCGTGAATATAGCGAATATTAACACCGCGAGTTATTTTCCCCCTATACAGTATGCATAATAATCTTGATAGAGAAATGGAAATTGTTTGTGTATTTCTGTTGTAAAGGATACATGCCAATGCTTCAGTTGCTCCTTGTCTATAAATGACATTATCAGCAACGTCCATTAGTGGAACTATTTTTTCAATGATAAAGGTCATAAGGTCAAGTGTCATGACCTGACAGAGCATTCCAAAACATCTGGCTGCTAAGTGACGAACTGCTACAAACTGACTGTGTAGGCAATCCAACAGCAATGGCAATCTTTCCCTAAGCTATTAAACATAAAGATTTTTTCTATCAATTTTCTTGATTTAAAAAAAAAATAATAATAATCCTCAATATTGACAACTGGTAGCTAAAACAGTAGTATATTATATCATCTTCAAATCAAAAATACAGTTTCTGATTAACTTCAAAATTCATAAACTCTAAACCATATGTACATGCACAATGTACATGTGGCAACCAATTATGATATGAACTTTTACCCTGATATTAATCAACAAAAATTAGGTATTAAGAAATTCTTCATATCTTAAAATGAAAAATAATATACACATTAACTATGATCAGCTGTCAACTTTATACAATGTACTAAGCAATTCATGGCCACAAATGATGAACATAATGGTTTGGTTTTTTTCTCTCCAATATATTCTGATGCTCAATTGATTCGTGTGAAAAATGTTACAGCATGACAAATATCTGAGGTCCAAGTACAGAAGATAACAAAAAATGTAATCCATTTCTTTATATACAATCATGTGCTGTAAGCACTATTAACTGACAAGAAAGCTGTAGAGTTGGTGGTGATCCACAAGTACATCTTTACCAATCCTTTACCGACAGATGTATATATATTGTACAATGTACATTTCTCAAATGTGATCAATGGAGAAAAGATTAGACTTCATGCAAGCCTTTGACTATATATATATACACATAAATATAGTACATTTCTTAGACCATACTTGTAATTGTAGGTTTGGAGTCATGACTGTGCACAAAGTTTCCAACACCTGAAGAGAATTCACCAGCTCCTGGGCTTTATCCTCTGTTAGTATATTCTCTGTCAAAAAATATCCAGGTAATACTATTAAAAAATCTTTAATCATTTAAAACAGAAATGAAATTGTCATCTAAAATGAAAATCTATCTGCAAAAACCCCACTTTAAGACATTTGAGAGTAACCATAAGAAAGACAAACCTTTTCCCACACCTTGGAGAGGTTCCACCATATTTTCCCACAATGTTGGTAAGCTGTCAGGAAGTTCATCTCCAAATTTCTGTGTAATGGTTGTTAAGGCCAGAGTTGCTCCCCTTCTCTGGACCTGGTGCTGCTTTTGTGTCTAAATAGGAAAATGGAAATAAAAGTTACTTAGTAACATCTTCCCTCCCTTGTTGGAGTGTCTGTATTGGTTTTAAACACCAACCTCATTAATTTCCTGAGTAGAGTCAGAGTCATCTATTTTTACACTCGCTGCCCGCTTCAACCATTTCTTTCCCACATTGGGAGTCTGAAATATTTTTTTTCAATTTTAGATTTTTTTTGTAATTCTGGACAAACATGTCCATGTATAGTTTAGAGTATAGTGCATGTACATCAAATAAAAATCAAAGGCCTGATGGCATAGGAGACACATCCCATTCATAAAACTGAAATCTGTGTCCTGTGTCCTTCAAGTCACCAAGTGACTCATAAGGCTATGGGATGTGAGGGTACAATTGATCAGATATATTAAAACAAAATTAAACATATATTTAACATATTAAACACCTGCCATGGATAACTAATTTTTTTCCTAAATAAAAATATCAGAGATTTATTATACATGTATTTAATTAACTTACAAGAGGCCCGAGGGCCGTGAATTGCTCTTCTGATAAACTGTACAACCTATCACTTCTATTTAAAGCCTCTAAGTATCCTGTATATTTACCTGGTAGATAAAGCCTTGAAATTCCAAAGGTAGGTCATCCTGACCTACATTTTAGATAAAACACTCTGCGACCCCAAAATGATTCTAAGCCAATTAGTACCTGAGAGTAGGTCATGGTGACCTACTTATCACTTGTCATTCTCCGAGGACCCAAGATGCATCAACTAAGTTTGATGATTCTAAGCCAAACAGTACCTGAAATATTTTATATAAAGCCATAAAATTTCAAAAGTAGGTCATGTTGACCTACTTTTCAGTTGACATACTCTGAGGACCCAAGATGCAAAAACTGACAAAGTTGGATGATTCTAGGCCAATTAATACCTAAAATATTTAATTACATGTATAACAAAAAAATTTCAAAAGTAGGTCACAGTGACCTACTTTTCAGTTGACATACTTTGAGGACCCAAGATGCATCAACTGACAAAGTTTGATGATTCTAAGCCAATTAGTACCCGGAATATTTCATTATAGCCAAATAAATTTTCAAAAGTAGGTCACAGTGATCTACTTTTCAGTCGACCTATTCTGAGGACTCAAGATACATCAACTGACAATGTTTGATGATTCTAAGCCACATAGTACCCAAAATATTTAAATATAGCCATAAAATTTCAAAAGTAGGTCACAGTGACCTACTTTTCAGTTGACGTTTTTTGAGAACCCAAGAAACATCAACTTACAAAGTTTTATGATCATAGGCCTTAAAATGTCCAAAATATGCCTCTAAAACGCTTTGAAATCAAATGCCTGTAAAGTTCAAAAAGTAGGTCACTGCGACCTACTTTTTAATAAATATGTTTTATGGCCCCAAGATGCATCATCTTACAATTGTGATTTAATGATTCTAAACCTCTCAGTATTTGAATTAATGACCTTAAATGTTTTGAAAAAGATTAGCCATAAAATTCAGAAAGTAGGTCAAGGTGACCTACTTTTTAGTTGATGTACTTCGAGGACCCAAGATGCATCAACTGACAAAGTTTGATGATCATAGGCCTTAAATTGTTCAAAATATGCCTCTAAATCATTTTTGAAAAGAATGGCTGCAAAATTTAAAAAGTAGGTCACTGTAACCTACTTTTAAGTCAACATGATATGAGGTCCTTATATGCATCAACTGACAAGATTTGATGATCCTAGTCCTTATAGTAAGCAAAATATCAACATTCTAATAAAATGTAATTTACCGTAACCTACTTTTAAGTCAACATGATATGAGATCCTTAGATGCATCAACTGACAAGATTTGATGACCCTAGTCCTTATAGTAAGCAAAATATCAACATTCTAATAAAATGTAATTTTTGGTCAACTTTGAAGTGACCTTGAGACCATGCACTTTGTCCCAGGGGGATTCCTCGTGCAAATTTTAATCTACAACATATCCTCATCCTTTTGTGTAAGTTTGGTGATAATCTGCCCAGTGGTTCTTGAGAAGAAAATTTTTTAGCAACCAGTACTTTTGGTTTTATTTACCTAATTATCTCCCCTAGGGTCACGACCCTAGTTTTAGAATTTAAACGGGAGCCCTTGGGCCAAGGATACCCTGTGACAAATTTGACAATAACTGGCCAAGGGGTTCTTGTGTTATGGCTCATATTCTAAAAAGTTTACGCACTTCGCACAAATGGTCATAGTTTTAGCTCTTTGAGCCTTTGGCTCAGAAGTCCCAACCACTTATTCCTTTAGTATTTTTATCCTGGATATCTCTGATCCTCAGATATCTCAAAGAATTTTCTCTGTCCCATTGAGTTTGGGGTAACAAGGTTTGACTGTACATTTGCTTCCTTTTTTTTTTCTTAATGTACATCAAGACTCATATGTAACAGACTTAAATGATGCAACAAGTTTTGAATTTTTATCAGTGATCTTGATAAATTATATCAGAATTCTGACCTTGTATCATTTGATAGCTTGAATCAACTTAATTTCTCATGCCATAACATTTCTTTTTCTATTTCATATTAAATAGACACTCAACAGCTCGAATGAAAGAATAATATGAAGTGCAAATTTCTGAAGCTCTATACATATCAGATTTTGACACTGTTTGACAATTCTTTGAATTAACTACATGTAGGTCCATAGACTGATAACAAAGAGGCTGCACTGCTGATAGCAATGCCCCTCAAAAATCTATTTTACATCCCCTCCCTTCTTTTTCATACTATTTTGATAACTTACTTTCTGTTGCTTTGTTAGGGTTATTATTCCTAACTTGACACCACATTTTACTTCACTTTCATCAGCTACAAAAAGCAGTAAATGAGGAAAATTAATAAACACACACCATTTCTCCAGATAAAATCCATTTTATCATCAAATTTGATGATAATAAAAGAACCATAGAAATTCATCACAAAAAGGTACAGAGGTGTTTATATTACCTGTGTAGCTTGGAATGGGTGCAGTAACTCTAGGTGTATAGGTGGGATCCACACACAAAAAGGTACACAGGTTCTTCAGTACCTTTGAGTTAGGGTTGGGGTTTTTATCCAAACATTTCTTTATTAATCTGCATAAACAGTCTGCTGCCTCTTGCTGGAATATGCGAACAAAAAAATTCAGCATTAAGTTTTATCAAATTTTACATTTAGAATACATCAGGTCAGTTGTCAAGTAATATGCCATAAAAAATCTGCATGAAACTATTTTTAATACTTATCACTTCTTAGTGAACTAACTATATATATCTACATGTACACAATTTGCATTTACCTGAATTTCTTGGTTTTGTTCCTTTTTAATGCATTCCATCAAAGGTCGAATGACAGGATTAAGTTTTTCAGGAAGGGCACCTAATTCTACAGCAGCCTTGGCTAAACTGCACTGAACTCTGTAATTATTTACTTTGATTGTAGGATGTGCATGTATATCTTATCATAATGGTGTTCAAAACTATACATGACACATTTAACAGAGAATATTTTCAACTCATACTTAATTCACTTGAGTACATTTGAGCTATGTAGAAGACCAGACCTGATAGTGAGGGTCTGGAGCTCCTGAATCGTGGTGTCCACAATGACTTTGAGTTGTTTTCTCCTCTCCTCAAACACCTGCTGGGCCTTGGGTTTTAGTGAGGCCTTAGCTTGATCAAAAGTTGTAGTGGTCAGGACACTGGCTTGGTCCAGGGTGATGATGCCCCTGATTTCAGATATAACAGACTTTTATAGATAGAAGGATTTTTTTCTAATGAACATCACAATATAAAAGAAAATCAGTAGAGCTACTGTCTGTAATGTGATACAAATTAATAAAACACATTTTTAACACAATGTTACACTTCTTACAACTCATACATAGGAATCAAGAAAACCAGAAAATTGATCCTGGTCTTAATCTAAACTGCTATTAATCTACTGACCCTGGTGGAATAACAGAGTCCAAGTCCACCCCATTTTGCTTGAGTCCAGCCATGAAATCTCGACAATCTGACTGCATGTGGGTGAAGGAGATTGCCACCTCATCAAAGTAGATGGCATCACTCAAGCACTCCAGCAACTTGGCAACAACTTCATCTGGGAGTTTACTCTCCTGAAATATGAATAACAATAGAACAGAGTACTACAAATTAAATTCTATTTTCATTCTCCAATTCTAAATGAATAAGCACAGCTAAATGTTTACATATACCCCCGGTACTGATCACCAAATTTTCTCACCACTTTATTTTTGTGAAATACTTGCATAATTTGTATTTATCAATGAGACAAACTTTGTTCATTGCTATATATATAACTTGAATAATGGAAATATACTTAAGAATGAATTTTTCCCAAGCTTGGGGTCTTGCATAATAACACAAAAAAGGAGTTCTTGCAAATACTAAGTAAAAAAATTTACAGCATATACACTGAAACAGGCTTATAACGAAATGCCAGAGAAGAATGATTACTTTTTCAACAGTTTAATATGTAATTTATACAAAGCTTAATATTTTTAAAAGTGATATTTTTCCCATTGAAAAATATCAAAAGTGATATTCTTCACTGTGAAAATATCAAAAAAGCGGCAAAACTTTTTAATTTCATTCCCTTCAAGAACAGCGTTATAAAGAAAATACCCCATTATACAAGAGGCCCAAGGGCCTTAACGGTCACCTGAGTATAAAACAACAATCCATAGAAGATCCATAGAGTATAAAATAAACTGATAGAAGGAGCTTTTGTAAATCTTTGATCGTCCATTGTGGCCCCACCCTATCCCCAGAGTCCAGAGTCATGATTTGAACTTGAATCTATACTACCTGAGGATGTATCCAAGTAAATATATCCAATCATGGCTTTGCTGTTCTTGAAAAAAGAATTTTTAAAGATTTTTCCTACATATTCCAATACAAAACTTTCATTGTCCATTGTGGCCCACCCTACCCCTGGGGATCATGGTTTTAACAAACTTGAATCTACACTACGGAAGATGTTTCCACATTTCATCTTTCTTGGCCCAGTGGTTCTGGAGAAGATTTTTCCAATGTATTCCCATGTAAAACTTTGATCATCCATTGTGGACCTGCCCTACCCCTGGGGGTCATGATTTGAACAAACTTGAATCTACACTACCTGAGGATGTTTCCAGATAAGTTTCATTTTTCTTGGCCCCGTGGTTCTGGAGAAGAAAATTTGTTAAGATTTTTTTCTATGTATTTCTATGTAAAACTTCGATCATATCAAAATGACTAATCATGGCTTTGCAGTTCTTGAGAAGAAATTTTCCTATAAATTCCTATGTAAGACTTTGATCCTCCATTGTGGCCCCGCCCTACCCTGGGGGTCATGATTTGAACAAACTTGAATCTACACTACCTGAGGATGCTTCCATATAAATATGACCAATCATGGCTTAGCTGTTCCTGAGAAGAAGATTTTTAAAGATTTTTCCTATATATTTCTATGTAAAACTTTGATCGTCCATTGTGGCCCCACCCTACCCTCGGGGGTCATGATTTGAACAAACTTGAATCTACACTACCTGAGGATGCTTCCATATAAATATGACTCATCACGACTTTGCTGTTCTTGAGAAGAAGATTTTTAAAGATTTTTCCTATGTATTTCTATGTAAACTTTGATCATCCATTGTGCCCCCCCCCCCCTACCCCGGGGGTCATGATTTGAACAAACTTGAATCTACACTACCTGAGGATGCTTCCATAAAAATATGACTCATCACGACTTTGTTGTTCTTGAGAAGAAGTTTTTAAAGATTTTTCCTATATATCTCTATGTAAAAATTTGATCGTCCATTGTGGCCCCACCCTACCCCTGGGGGTCATGATTTTAACAAACTTGAGTCTACACTACCTGATGATGTTTCCATATAAGTTTCATCTTACCTGGTCCAGTGGTTCTTGAGAAGAAGATTTTTAAAAGATACCATTAATTTTTCACTAATTCTTAATTATCTCCCCTTGGAAGGAGTGGCCCTTCATTTGAACAAACTTGAATCATCTTTACCCAAGGATAGTTTGTGGCAAGTTTGGTGGAAATTGGCCCAGTGGTTCTTGAGAAGAAGTCGAAAATGTGAAAAGTTTACGCACGATGCACACCCGCACGCCGATGGACGAAAACAGATAGCAATAGGTCACCTGAGTGACTCAGGTGACCTAAAAATAGTGTGAGTAAATAAACCATCCTGACACATAAACTGCCAAAAGTTTCTCAAAATTTTTATTTATGTCCTTGTTTACAAATTCCGATCTCATAAATGCTTAACCATGATGTACATCTCACAACTGTTAAACTATGAGGTCACTGACTACAACACTGCATTATGAAAAGACGGAGGCAAAAGGAAAATCAAAGAAAAAGTAGTTTACAGAAAATTCTATGTTTTGTAGTTGGATATGGAATGTATATCAGGGCTCGACATTTACTCTTGTCCGCTTGTCTGGTACCAGTGAAAAAAATTTACAGACAAGTGAATATTGCTGGGCACTTGTCCGATTGGACAAGTGCATTTTAATGTAAAGAAGTCTCCAAATAATAAAAAGAACGACTGTTGAAAGTTTACCGGTACTTTAAAGACAGAAACAGTACATAAAAACCGAACTTTGATCCCGATATGGATCGCTATGAAATTGAGTTCACACTTGATCAGGATCGAAGTTCAGTAATTGCATACTACTGCAAAGGCATGGAATTTATGAAGTTTGGATTCTGTTTTATGTTGACAGCATTCATGTTGTCAGGACAGAAAGTCTAGATAAAATTTTGTTTTATGTGTTTATTGTATTTATAAATAACATCACGCACATGTAATGGACTTTATTTTAGTTTTCCAGTTGACAGTATTAGATCTTTATTGAAAAAATTTTCGGACAAGTGAAGTTGAAGTTCGGACAAGTAAATGTCTTGGTCACTTGTCCAAATGGACAAGTAGGGAAAAAAGTTAATGTCGAGCCCTGTATATATATTTCATTAGTATTAAGGACTTTTTTGAAATTTTCACTCGTCCTTAGCACTCTTGAAATACAGTAAAACATGCTTATAATGAAGTGCAGGGACAAACGATTTTGCTTCACTATAAACGTAATTCGTAATATATGTTAAGTTCACAAAATATTTTTAAAGCCAATGGAAATGAAAATCACTTTGATGTAAGCATCAATTCATTATAAGTGTGTTCGCCATAAGCATGTTTTATTGTATGAAAAAATCCTGTAACACTAGTGAAATATGTGAACATTCCATAACCAACTACAAAACACTAAATCCTCTGTATATTCAATAAATTCATAATTCATAAGTTTTTAGGCTACATGGAATGAAAATTACTTCGCTTTAAGCATGAATTCATTATAAGCATGTTCGCCGTAACTGCGTGTTTGACTGTACAGCATTTATTTATTCAATATTACGCATATTTAAATATGAGATCTTAAATATATTTGTTTTAAAAATGAAAAGAACCTACCTTATTGGAGCAGGCGAGATTGTAGACAACTTGACCAATGACAAACCTCTGGACAGCTGATTTGCTGTTCAGGTGGAACAGAAAGAGCTTAGAAAGGGAGGTAACTGGTTTTTCTCCTTCAGGTGGGAAGTTAGGAATTTCTTGGATTATGTAACTACACAGCATTCCCAAAAACCTAAATTACACATAATTCATTTATTTTTTAAATTATTTTTCTTAGGTCTGTAGTTTAATAATCTGGAAACATTTTAGAGTACTATTATCATTTGTCACCTCATACATTCAATATGGCATGTGTCTCAATAAACACACATATAAAAACAGATCTCTTAAGACTAATAGTATGATTACAATAACCTTGGGATTTTTTTTACAATGCTTGATAATACAGTAAATAATTACTTAGTAGCCATGATCCGAGTCCTCATCACTGCCATGTCTCGGTCTACTACACTGGCATTCAGTGTCAGAGTCCCCGCAATGTAGTCTTTCTCTTCTCTGATGGTTTTCTGTGGTGTTCCTATGCAATGTCTTGTCTTTCCATGTTCACCATCTGACTGTCAGACGATTTAAAAAAAAACTAACTTAATGAATAATATATATCTTAATGGGGCTATTTAAACAAATTCCTAAAATGAATGCATGTTTCTTATAACATATCTGATAATCATGCATGCATTTTTTCAGAAAGAATAGGTTTGATCATTTTAAGTATTTGAAGTTTATATATTTCTTTAAAATCACACCCATACAAGTCTGCAATGTTTTATTTTTCAGAGATTTACAAAATACCTACATGTAACCTTCCTCTATGCTTGGCTTCAATAAGATATGAAGAATCAAATGGAAGCTTGGATGGCTGCATACACAAACAGAGCCAGACTCCTAACCAGGGCAAAGAATTCCCCACCAAGTACTCTAACGGGGCCTTAAACAGCAGCTGTGTCCACACTCTCTCTAAAATCTGAATTATATTTTCTTTTTCTTCCAGCAGGCATCTCTGGAAGACATGCCTGAGTGCATCTTGTAGAATAAAGGGTAGCCATGGTTGAATGGTTTGTTGGTCTTCTGGTATTGTAAGTAGAGTGTGGAAGGTTTCTAGGGCAGACTGTCGAACTGAGGCTATGGAATGTCGTAGGAATGGCCACAGTCTGGGCACTAGTTCAGGAAGAGGTTGAGAAAGCCTAAAACGAACAGAAATATCTTTATATGACTTCACTTACAAATCTACAATGTATATTCACATTACACATCTACTATGTACATTCACATGAATACATTTTATTCAGTATCTATTCTGAAAGTATCCTGGCTACATGTATATAAAGGCATTCTTAACATTTTTCACTTTTAAAATACATTTTTGTTTTACTTGCAAAAAACATCACTGGTGGATTTATAGGGGTGGGGTGGGAGTGGGGGTACACCCCTCTCTCCCCAAAAATATTCCAAAGATTAAGTTACATAAGTACAAAGGGAAAACTATTATGATTTTAATATGTTTATCTCAAAGTATGCTTTTAATCATCCTTTCTGATCCAGTCATTCTTTAAAAGATTTTTAAAATGTCACAAAATTTTCATTAATTCTTATTAAATCATCTCCCATTGAAAAAGGGTGAGACTCTATTTCCTCTTAACCCAAGGATGCTTTGTGGCAAATTTTGTTGAAATTGGTTCACTGGTTCTAGAGAAGAAGTCAAAAATGTGAAAATTTTATAGAATACACACAACACATGACAGACGGACACTGAACACTTTTCGATTGGAAAAGCTCACTTAAACTTCAGCTCAGGGGAGCTGAAAACTTCTCATTATAAAAATATCTCATTCTATTTTTACTAAAATAAAAGCTAAGTTTTTTTACTAGAAGGATTTTATACTATTTTTTTAAATATGGGAATCATACCAATCTTTGACAGAAGCCTGTGGGTTTGTTAAGATGGTGGACAGCAGTGTCATAATACTGTTAGTGGAGGCTGTCAAGTCATCCAGGTCTAGCAGCGTGTCCCATAAACAAGTCAGGACTAAAGGCACCTGTCAAACACATACATTTTCATATGGAGCAACACAGGCCATTTTCATGTTACGCTCCAACTTTTGTGTTACATTTCATTTTAATACCAATATAAATCATCATGTGGCGTAAAATTTGATTTTAGAGTTCTGAGTATGCTATTGATAAGCAATAAAATTCTTAAAATGGTTACATTAAAGTCAATTTTAGGGGGAAAAAAATCAAAAATACAATGAAAACATAAAAATCATGAACAAAAATAACATAAACTGTCATCATTTTCATAAATTTAAATAAAACATTTTTCACACCTGTTGTGGAAGCAGATGGACAAGATCATGTGCGACAGGAACCAGAGCTGCGGCAGCGACAGCTCTGACATCATCGTCCACATCCTGTAGTCCACGGAAAAGAGAGGGCAGCACTACGGGAAGGATCCTGTCTGTCATATCCTGCCAATCATATCATAATAACATAGAGTCTGAATAAAAATGTTACGATACAACACTACAACCATACACACTGTATATGACACCTGGTTTCTTACCTGTCTGACAGCTAGCAAGTATTTGAACCCTAGAAGCCCCCCGTGCCTGACCTCCCACTGCTCCTGGGCCAAGAGTTGTAACAGTACATTGACCATTCCCTCCACACCACACCTGTCCAGGTGCTTAATTACCATCCCCAGGGTCTGGGCACTCGTCTCCCTCACAGGTGCTACCACCTTCAAGAGAAAACACTTTCTATAAATATTTTTTATGATGTTATTTTATTGTGATGAAACAATTTGCGGGAACTTGAAAGGACCTTAAAACTGAACTAAAAAAATATATATATATATGTGTGTATATATATATATATATATATATATATATATATATATATATATGTATATATATATATATATATATATATATATATATATATATATATATATATATATATATATATATATATATATATATATATATTTTTATATATATATTAATAACTTCTTCTTTACACGATCTAATTTCAACAACTGATATCCATTTTGATTTACACTCTAAGGTTTATACTCTGTATTAGAGTCATGGTAAAATTAAGGTTATCAATGAGTACCTGTCAGTCAAATAACTTTATACACAACTCTAACAATAATAAATCAAAGGTATTTACACAGCAATTACAATACAACAATATAATTTTGACAGTCATTACATGATATCTATTTATAACCAGCTCGAGCATATCTTCTACATATACATACTCTACACAAACTTGTACGGAAATATAAAATAAGGAGCCAATCTTTTTTCCCCTAATTGAGTAACCAGGTTCTTGACTGGAAAAATGACATTCACTAGATTTTGATGGATTTGACAATCCGAAGTAAAACACAAACTTGCCTCATCTGAGACGTAATCACCAAACCGGTCCAATGACAGCACACACAGCAGTCTGAGAGCCAGGTCCGTCAACCAAACCTGGTTAATTGTGTGCAACTGAAATGAAAACACATGGGAATCATATAGTTTCAACCAAACCTGGTTAATTGTGTGCAACTGAAATGAAAACACATGGGAATCATATGTTAAATTTAACAAAAACAACCTAATCAGATAAATATACTTTAAAATTCAAATCCAAGAGACTTTCAATCTTAAACTATAAATTCATGCACAGAACATGAAAATCATCATTTACATGTATATGATGATGGTTTATCTTACAGATGAATTTTCCCAAATTATCCTACATGAAAGATTTGATTTACTCTTTCTTCAAATTCAATCAGTGGTTTTCTCTAACCTGATCTTGAGGTATATCTATTGATAACCCTGCCGAGTCTCCATGGATACGTATGACCTCTCTAAGTCCCGTGGCAGCACCATGCCGTGTCTCCCATCGACTGTTGAAGAGGTCATTCATTAGTAACTCACAGAATGACTCAAAGTACCACTCCTCATCCTGAATAATTGTAAAAATATTATACAATTAATTACCCTTATGAGGTCAACATGGTGAAATAAGGACCGGAGACCTGGCCCACAAGGTGACCTGACATGACCGAGGCTGTGTAGCAGCCAAAGTCAGGTCAGGTCAGCGAGTGGCCCAGGTCAAGGGTCCTTATTTCACCATGTTGAACTCATAAGGGGTAATCAATTGTTTTATTATACCAATATAAGTAAAGGCAATTTTTGTAGGCTTAATTACTAAAATAATCAAATGTGTATTAGACCTATGAACTGTTATTATCAGTGATCCATCAGGATCAGGATTCGCAAGTGAAGTTGTTTACTTTTCGCCTGCAAGTCTTGTAAGTTTTTGCACCGCCGATTTATCAAAACACTCTGTGATTGTCAGTAACATGCATTTTTATAAATTCACAAACACCATTCCAGAGTTACAATGACAATCTGGTGCAGACTTTTACTGTACAAGAGAGCCGAGTCTGCATTCGTTGAGTTTGACATTGTTATAAAAGTTTCAATGAAAACGATAAATGTTATGATGCATCTAAAGGCCAATCATGTTCCGTGTCCTAAAAATACTATACATATTTTTATAACAGCATTTCTTGTATTGTACAATCATTACTGTATGCATAATTTTTTTTTAATTTGAATGGAATTTGGATTAACAGGTCATTTTTAGCGGTCATTATTTTTATTGACCAGTCATTATACCCCACGTGCAATGATTCCTAGGTCATTATTGCTGTAAACAGTACTTTTTGGAGTCATTATTGAGTTTAAAAGCCTTCTAACAAGCCAATCAAATTTGAGTATTCTTAATAGAGGTATAATAATATAATATTCTAAATGTTCAATCTTAAAATGCTTAAATTCAAATATATGTCATGAAAACATGTAGATTTATTTTCTTTAGCAAACAACTAAATGGCTCTTAGCTCATCTCAACTTATAAAATATGTTAATGCAATTTGTCTCTATGAATATAGAAGAGCCCAAAATTACAATGAAAACACTGCAGCCCTAGGAGATTAACTGATATAGGATTTATTTTAAACAAACCCTTACCTCTTCGATGTCTACAGAGGCCTCCATGACAAGCTTGCTTTCACCACTTCCCATATCCACACTGTGGGACTTGGCCTTTTTACAGGGAGGCTCTGTATCCAGGGACATCTGCTCACTGCAAAGTCAAAACTTTTTTTACATTAAAATCTGAGATATCTCAATTTTCCTTCCAATAAAATCACAACGGAATGAAAAATTGCATCTGTATGATTATCAATATGATTCTGAATCTACAATTACATGACATTTGCACAACTATTTGGATTTAAAGAATTTTAATATATATGATTCAAATGCAACTTAACTAACAAAGTGAAAATGTGAATTTGAATACAATCTTTGAAAAAATTCCAGTTAGATGATCGTACTTGTAACAGTCCTTTGACCTCTGCTTGGCCAGGATCTTAGCTTTACGCTTCATTCTGCTCTGTTCCCTTGCACTCTTACCCCCTGTCACATCAAGAAGCTGCTGCTTAAGGATGTCTGACACACTCCTCTAAAAAAACAAATTGTAAGCCTTGTTTTTATAGTTTTGTAACATTTATTGTTTAAAAAGCCTCCTATATTTTAAAGAAAATTCATTCTTTTGTAAGATACAAGTGAAATCTATACAGATGTTTGTGAGAGTAAAACAAAATTGCCTTGTCTGAAAATGTGTCCCCGTTCTCTGTCTTTATTTGGGATACCAAGTCTTCATCAGAGAAAATGTCTCCTCCGATCCCCAAGTTGCCAGCCATATCTAGACCAAGTCGCTTGTTTAGTATCTGTCGTTGTCTTGACAACTGGTCTTTGTCATTCATGCCTAGAATATTGTATACATGTAGTAACATTGGAGAGTTATTCCCCTTTACATAAAATAATACTTATACTTCTTTTCAGAGATGAACATTCACTTGAATAAAAAGCTAACCACTATCACACTGTTTAGTCTTAATAAAGATATCAACAAAACCATTATAGAAGTATTTCCATGCACTAAAAGACTAAAACACAAATTGTCAGATATGAATTCTTCAAATATTTTAGCTTCACATTTTACATATTTTAACTGAAGGTTTATTTACAAATGGACAGGAATGTTTTCCTTTATAATTGATGTATTCTCTCCGAAACCTACTAAGCATTTCTGTTTCATACTGCTTTTCCTCTGCCCCTAAGAGTGATGCCCCTTGAGACAAAACCTTGCCAATGTTGAACTGCGTGAATAAAAGCTGGCTTGGATTTCCCTCTGTAATGTTACCATTGGTCTCTGTAAAATAGATATTGGTAACCACATAGAGAAATAACTTTACAATAAATACATATCTATGTAAGCTTCCTCAAAATGTTTCTATGTGAGTCAAAAACACAAGACCATTTTCACTCTGACATTGATAAAATCACACCCTCTATTGATTCAACATCTTTCTACAAAGAGAATTATTACATGATAATTTACTGTCGGCAAATAAATTCATGATCCTCAGAGTTGGGAAAGGGAGATAATTTAAGATGCTTTAATAGTTAACCTTGTTTGATGGGTATATTTTTATTCCACTTTGGCACATTTCTTGCTATGGCTGCCACAGCTTGTCCTGCTGCTATCCTAGTCTCCCAGCTTGAGCTCTTTAAGTAACCATGAACCTTTACAGAAAAATTTATTGATTTATATACATATAATCAAACCTTGTTATCTCAAACTCAATGGGACCAAGAAAAAAATCAAGATATTGTAGGGTTCAAGATATCCAGGGTAAAAGGAGTTCAGACTTCCAAATCACTTTGACATATCCATGGTATTCGAGATATCAGTGTTCAAGATACTGAACTTGAACTGTATATATGTTGATCCCTTCTGTCCACATGAAGGAGAGAAGGGTGGGGTTGTTAAGGAGTATTCAGCACCAAGTTGTCATATTATGGAGATTTATATTATTTTAGAGAAGTTACACACACTGAAAAATAGTTAATAAAATCCTATATTACTCTCACCTTTGACAGCAGGTTCTGAAGTTCATATGGGTGAAGTTTTTGGACCTCTCCCAGTTGTTCAGCGGCTGACTTCCTGATCAGTGGGGTGGATCCAGTGTCCAGAAGTAAAAACAACCTGTCAAGCCTGTTATTAGAGGATAGAAAAATGCAGACATATATATGAAAATATTAAATACATCAATAGAATTATATACCACTTTGATTACAACCCTGCTTAATATGATCTTTGATATCTGAATTTTAAAAGCTGAAATTGAACCCTTCAGTAAGTAAACACGTTATGATTGCCTATGCCTATCAAATCGAATTCTCTTCCTCTTGCCTCCTACCTAGCATCTCTGTGAGCCAATTTCATTTGTCAGACCTCATTATACTGTACGTGTAATTAAAAAAAGTGGGCTTCATGTTTTAGCAGCTTTGGCAAAGACAACAATGCGCTAATTCATGAATACCGTAAGAAATCATTTATATATATACAATATTGGCAAAGACAACAATGCGCTAATTCATGAATACCGTAAGAAATCATTTATATATATACAATACATGGCACAGACATGTGTAGCGCTTATTCATGATTACGCCAACAACTCCATGCCCAGTGATTGCACTAAATTTTAAATACGCCAATTTATTTATAAGTGCAGTATACTAAATTGCACCAGTCATATGACCAGAGTAAAAGTTAATTGGCAAAGGAAGTAAACTGTTGGAAAACAAAAATTAATTATTCTTAATAATGATAAATTATTGAAAATCTATCATTTTTTGGGTTGCATTTCATTGGGAAAAGGTTAAATATTCAAACAACTATTGCTGAATATTGAAAAAATTCAACAATTTTAAAATCATGGACTCACAAATGACTTTTTCATAATATAAAATAACAATAGGTAAGCATGAATGAACATTTATTCAATTAATTTAAACAATTTAAGAATATACGAATTTATTACAAAATATCTACATTTTAACAACTCCTCCTATTTTTTCTGCTATATTTCTAAACACAGCAAATTCTTTGCCAATCATTCTAAACCACTAGATCTTTGTACACCGGTGGACCTATCCCAGTCAAATGAAGTGAAAAGTCTGGTTACTAAAGGTCAAGCTGCACATTTTGCATACAAGGGTTTGACAAATAAAGTCCTACCCACATCACACATATACTGAATTTCACATGGTCACCTATCTCTGATTATGACCTTGACCTTTTGACCTGAAGATGAAGTCTGCTTCTTCCTGTATCGCCATCTACCATTATCAGTAGCAAGTATGAAACAGAAAGCTAAGTTATTAATACAAGTTTCCCTTTAATATGAGTCTACTTATGGTCAGTGCTCACTTTTTCCATGATCACCATGATCAGAGTCATGCAGTGATCAATCGACACAGCCTTCATCAACCCTTCTTCTTCGGAAGTCAAGTGGCAGGCTAACAAACACATCTATGTTAAAACCATGAAAAGTGACCATTCCTAATGTGCAAATGTCTCATATTATATTTTGATGCAAGTACATTACGACCTTTGATGCAACACACTGCTGTCACCATCTGCTGTTAAATCGACGTTAGCTTGCTACAAATTATTCATTCACCCGATTTAGCGGTAATAGGATCATTTTAAGACATTGACATATGTCAAACATACATGTATGACAGGCAATCTGTAAACCTTCAGTCCAGGTCAGCATAACCTGTAACAGCTTTTAAGAACACTGTATGCTAGCTGATCTGTTGTGCTGTAGATTCGATGTCTTACCTAGTGGTCATTTTTGACAGCAGTCCAAAATTTAGCAATGTTTGCTGTATCTCATACTCAAGATGTCCTCCTGGATCTTTCCTTGTATGACTCTGCAATACTTTGTTCCTATATTAACACTTTTGGGTAGTAAAGCATGTTGCAAACTTTCTTAGACAACTGTTAATGATTGTTTAATTTACGTGATGCCAAGAACTGGCGGTAAAGACGAGTATCTAACAAGAAAAACTGAAATAATACTCTGCCAAATTGCTTCTTTATTTAATCCTCGCCCGCCCTCGACGGGCTCACTTTTTATACTGACTGCCATTTTACACTGCTTACCTAAAATAGCGAACTTACTAACCCTTGATTGGCCGAAATTTATATCTTTCGACCAATAGGAATGTTATGGAGTAAAAGAACGGTTGCCACTTTATTTAGTACCTAGGGTTTTTGATACCTCGGTATTTTGGTTTTATTTACTCAAAAGTCTCTATAAACAAAAGAGGTATACTTCTCTAGAACGTGTAGCTAAATTGCTGCGGTAAAATTAAGCGTGTGAAGAAAAGATATAGAAAAAACAAAACACTTTTCAGTAAGTGATACACTGTATATGAAATGATTGAAATTTGATCCCAAAAGGCAAGCGGTTTTGGGGGAGGGGGGTTCCCAAACTAACTTGGAAATCATAGAACCAAAACTAACGTACTAACTAAATACCGGCCTGCTAAAGATGTGTCCTTGCTTGAATTTTTACTTAGTTTCCAGGTCTGAAGGCACGTTTGTGCCTCTCGATGATAATCCACTCTATCATCACACCCGCCGTGTGCTCCTTAATTGTCATAGTCGGGCAAACAGAAAAAAAATCGTGGACAATTCATTATGAAAATACTGACTTAGCAATTTGTATGAAAAACGTCAATGAACATTCGACTTCATGATAGATTGTATTTACTAACAAGACCATTGTTTCGACCGTAGAATTTGCAAAATGTTGACAATAAACGAGACTGTTGATATTGTATCATCAACTTATTTGTCAGCAGCTTGCCTAGTTTTAGAAATTTTCGTAGAACATATGCACTAGCTAGCGTATCGAATCAACCAGAACTCCATATGCAGGTGATAATGGTATTTTGCTACAGTTGACGATAGAAAAGTTGAAGTCATCACGTTTACCATGCCAAGAAAAGGTACGCATTCTAGTTTTAGAGCGAACTCAATAAAAGCGGAATTAGCGTTAATCTGTGATTTTTCCCCAGGGAAATGTGTGCGAGGCAATTAATGTCAGCAGTTTTGAGGGAAGGATCTTAAGTTTTACTGGTTTGAAATTAAAGCTAGAATACTTACTATTTAGAAGCCTTTGCACCTTTTTTCCTGTTGTTTTTTTTTTTAAAGGGGGGGGCGATTTTCCATGCAAATCATATGCGGTTAAAAAAGTAAAAAAAAAAAAAAAAAAAAAAAAAAAAAAAAAAAAAAAGGGAAGAAAAAGAAAGTGAAATAAATTGTAGTGAACTAATTAATTGTTCAGTAAAAATTAGACGCCTTTCAAATTTTTCAGTGTTTATATATCAAAATATTTTTTTCCTAGTATAAATTAACATCGGGCACGATGAACTTGGTTGTTGTGGAAGTCTCGCGCCTTATTAAGGTATCCAAGCTTATCTTTTAAAAAGATAGGTGAGCTAGCGCTGTAGCTATCATAAACCACAGAATTAGATATCTGAATTATTGGATTTATTTGCTGAATCGATTAAGGGGACGATCATTTGATTCTGAGGAGGGGGGGGGGTCTGGCAAAATCTTTCGAGTCAGATTATTTATTTTCATGCCAGTCAAGGACAGATTATTTATTTTCAAAATGATCAAGGACAGATTATTTATTTTCTTCTTAATCGAAAAAGTTTGACAAAAACAAAAACAAAAAAGTTCAAAGAGGGACCGGGAGGGGGGGTTAAGTAGTAATAGCCAGTGACAGATTATTTATTTTCTTGCCGGTCGTGGAAAGACAGTTATTTATTTCCAACTTTTTTTAGGACAGATTATTTATTTCCAAAATCTTTCAGCCCCCCCCCCCCTTCAGAATCAAATGGTCGTCCTTAATTATTAATAGGAAGACACAGTGGTACACTGGAGGTAGTGTTGGGGTGTGTGTGTTTTAATTCAGAATGGTGAATGTATCAGCTATTCAGTGATTAATACAGAATATTCATCAGACTATTTATAAAAAGGCTATTGTTGGATTAAATTCGGGATACTGTGCTTTAAGCATTCTGTAGTTTTCCGTAATTTCAATTTTGAAGTGAAAAATAAGAGATAAGTAGAACCAATGAACAGCTAGTTTAAAAACAGTCCAGTGTGGTACTGTTTTGTAGCAATCGCATCAGAGTCCTTTCGGGCCTTTCCCGGCAAGCTCGGAAAACATATCCGAGGTTGTTATTCCGAGCTTGCCGGAAAGATCCAGGAAGATAGTTAAAAATAGCTAGTTTTTTTAAATTATAATTTTAGAAATTATAATTGATCTGTACAATTTTGGCATTTACTGTTACCTTTTGAACGTTTAATTGTGATTAGACAACAAAACGCGAAACTTCAGATCATATGCATTTTCAGATTAAAAAACGAAATTGACAATTTATCTACAAGTAGTATTCCCAGAGTGTCCTACCATGAAGTTGAGCATACATCTCGAGTTATTGCTAGCTCGAGAGCGCCAGCAATAACAATCGGATCATTACTCGGGCTTTTCCGTCAAAAAAGGAAAAATGAGAAATTAAAGAATTATAATTATATCAGTGCTACTGCATTGAATCAATCGTTTCTCGTGTCTTTCCGAATACTCTGAAAGATTTCCTGGGTTTGTTTCTGAGCTTGCCGGAATTATCTAGGAAGGTAGTATACATGGTTAGCTTTAAGGAAAGCTAGGTTTGACCAGTTGATCTTGGCATTATATGACCCAAATTTTCTTGTACTTTTAATCATAGGTTACACAATGAATTAAGAAATTCAGAATTCGGACCATATCAATTTTTATGATAAAACGAAATTATCATCGTAGAGTCTATCTTCAGTAGTTTTCCCAGAATGCCCGACCGTGAAGTCGAGCATGCGTATTCCAGAAATATAGACTAACGTAGTTGCTAGCGCTCGAGAGCGCTAGCAAATAGCGGTAATTGACCAATGAAAATGAACTTAGTTCAATTGTAGTTCCATACATATAAAATTATTATTTTTTCCTTTTTAATTTTTTTTTTAATTTCCTTCCAGCCTATTTTTACAATTTTGGTACCTGTGTCTAGTGCATTTTACATATTTTGTAAATAAATAAAGGTTTTTGACAGGAACTATTTTTTTTCAGGGCATAGGAGGCTACTTCCTGGGGTAGAAGTTTATTTTTCTTTGACTAAGAAAACGGAAAACTTAGGATCCACCCCCTCAAATCTGCTGCCGTTAATTGTCTCGCCAGCGTTAGGGGAATATGGGTGATTTGCATCAATTACACTTTTATTGACTCCATCGCTGTGGAAAAATGGACGAGATTTCTTGGCATGGTCAGAAAAATTGTGTAGATACATGTATAAGATCATTGGCCTTGTCATGATTTGCTCTTTTAAGGAGCGTTTTTTTTTTTCTAAATTTTTAAATAATTTGTGCATAAATAATTTTAGAGAGTGTTACTTTTGTCTATTGATTATGGTGTTCTGCAGGTTTCATGCATTTCACTCGACCCAGTAAATCAACATCAAGTCATTTTCTGTCTAAATATATTATTTCAAATGAATTTGATGCATTGGAAATGAAATTCAAACAAACAAAAGCACGGAAAAGGGAGGGGGGATGTCTTTTACCGTTCAGAAAAATTGTGTAGATACATGTATAAGATCATTGGTCTTGTCATGATTTGCTCTTTTAAGGAGCGTTTTTTTTTCTAAATTTTTAAATAATTTGTGCATAAATAATTTTAGAGAGTGTTACTTTTGTCTATTGATTATGGTGTTCTGCAGGTTTCATGCATTTCACTCGACCCAGTAAATCAACATCAAGTCATTTTCTGTCTAAATATATTATTTCAAATGAATTTGATGCATTGGAAATGAAATTCAAACAAACAAAAGCACGGAAAAGGGGGGGGGGGGATGTCTTTTACGGCCATGAAGTTTTGTTGTTTTGTTGTTAGTTTGCCATTAATGTCCTATTCTAGTAAAATATCCAAATATGAAACAAATGGGCCAGATTCTGCAGTGTCTTTTATTTCGAGTTCCAAAGGGATCTGTATCATGTCCGTTGTAGAACCCAGTTATGTTTTTTTTTTTTGGGGGGGGGGGGCGGTCTTAAATCCCTCTACAGTTTTTACTTGGCAGGGACATACATGTATCGAATCAAATTAATAAAATGAATTTTATTAATTGAATGATAAAACGCCGTCGATATATCTAAATGTCGAATTGAAGGCTACACCAACAGACTTCTAGCTTCTTTTCATGTAGAATTTTTTGAATAAATTATGTTTCATATGAATACAAAAATAGGTCTGCTAATAAAAAGACGCAATTTGTATCCATGGTAATTCCAACATATAGTTGGAAGACGTGATCTCAAAAAACTACATAGATATTGTCAATCAAAGACTAAGTCCGTTTTAGTTTCTCATCAGTCTTTTTAACACTTCATAACAACACTGATGAAAGATTGGATTAGTACGGAAGCCGGTAGGTGCCAGGTAGAAAAACACTTTATCTGGCGGCATCCAAATAATTATCTGGCGGCCGCCAGATCTTTTAATCCATAAGCTACTAGCAAATATAAAGAGAGGGTTACAACCCCGTAACCCCCTCCCCCTCAAAACTCGCCACTATAGATACAAAGCTCCTACGAATCTCGCATGGTACTTGATTCTAACAACTAATATGTTACAATACTTTTTTGTACAGTTCTATATTTTTGGCACACGCAACTTCAAATGTGCTAACATTGCGAATCATACTCAGGAAAAAAATGTAAATTAGACTGAAAAGCTTTTCTCATTATGCAACATTCGTTTTCTTTTATTGGTAATTTTTTTTTTTACATGTAACTAGACAGGGGAAAACGATACTACCGTGTGTAGACTTGAGTCAATTCTTGGTATACCAAACCTCTTCTTTTAAAGAAATCATTTTTTTTAATGTAAAAAGTCTCATTTTGTTAAAGACTTTGTTGACACTAGCAAACGACAAAAGACATTGGTAAAGCTTTTGAGCTAGAACAGAATAATCACTTTTTGTGCCCCTGATATCGAAGCTCAGGGTTCCAAAACGTCCCAAAACGGCCTTCCTATTAATGGAAAATG